GCACTCCGTAATCGTCAAGAATTCTCCACAGCACATCTCTGTCCACACGGTCGAATATCTCCTTTCTAATTTTCGTAGCAATAAAAAATCCACTGCCGGCTTGCTAGGCCAGTCGCAGTTTAAGGGAAAATCTGACCAGATGGACCCCATCCCATCTGGCGAGCCAGAGCCTCGTTCGCCTGTGGCCTCACGGCCACAGTTTCGCTTTTTGACTGACAATATTAAATTTTCTATTCCCTTTACGCTGTTCGAAAGGAGGATTGGGTCATCTGCGTAGTGAAATTCCCGAATAGGGTTGCCACCAATTTTGAGCGGATCATAACTGTCACAAGTCTGGTCATTTTTTACATTTCTCATTTTTATTTTTTGCGTAAATATTGAATAGGTATGGTGAGAGAATACACCCCTGCCTCACCCCTTTTGCACCTCGAACTAATCCGATGTTTCACCAGCTGCTCTGGTGGCTGCTTCTTGTTCATAATTAGTGATTAGGGACACATACCGCTCGTGTCGCGTGCCTGATTTAAGAATTTCTCCTTAAGAACCAACAGCACTCTGAAATAGAATAATGTTGAGGTGTCGGCTCGTATTGGTCTAAAGGGTATCCCGTGGCCAATATACACCCAACTTATTTCAGGAGTAGGGCAACTCAAGTTATGGCACTACAGAATATATATTATTCCTAGGCGCAGCTTGGCTGTACGTCCCTACTATTATAAGAAGATAGCCCTCAGGCTATGATATTGTAACATCACAGCCATGTTAACACAAATTAAGATTAATGGTTAAACATATATAGCTCTAGACAGTTTGAACAGTGAATGATGGACACTCAAGTCAATAATGAAAACTTCCAAAGGCGTGTATTATATGCAACACATATATATCATTAAGACTCAAGTAAAGGTGTTTCAGAGCAACAGGACTCAGGAGATCAGATCCAAAATAGTACTGTTGAATATGCCAGAGACCCTTCAAGGCAGTCTAGAATCATCATCGTAACTCAGAGTGGACCTGTAAATAGAGCATGAGGCATTACACCACAGAGTTCTACTTATCCAAGTTTGGTAGGCGTCACTGCACGCATGGGTTCATGATGATCTGAACAGGCTGACTCGGTTGGACTGCTCCTTTTGCTGGTTGTCTTGGTGAACACAGACACAAACAGTCAGAGTTCATGCACTGGAACAGAGTTCATATACTGTAACAGAGTTCATAAGCTGGAACAGAGTTCATATACTGGAACAGAGTTCATATACTGGACCAGAGTTCATATACTGGAACAGAGTTCATTTACTGGAATAGAGTTCTTACACTGGAACAGAGTTATAACACAGGAGCCCAACGAAGCTCCTGAAGAAGGTTCTCTGGTGAAACACAAATGGGTGGCCTGTAAGCTGATGCCTACACACTGGCTTCCACCTTGCTGTCTGCCATGTTGGAGTTGTGATGGTAGGTATTTAGTGGATGGTGGTTTGGTTAGACGTTGACTGACTGCCTGGCCTCCAAGGAGATATCATCCTGTATCAAGAAGGAACTCGGAATTAGCAGTCATCTCGGGGGTCACATTCCTAGCTCATTTTATTACCTTCCACCCTTTGCAATCACTCAGAGAACAGCTCTCAGAATAATGAGACAGTTAAAATCTTCATGTATCTCTGTCCGTCAGTCAGTACAAGAGACAAAAGACAAGTTCCACAATGGAGATAGATACTCTAGTACACATAGGACATCATCTCTCCACAATCACATCTGCATTTGTAGTCACTCAGACGATCTCTCTCTCTCTCTCTCACATATGTATATATTATATCCCACTGACTGCCATGAGTTGACCCCTTGTTGTTTTGTGTCTGCTAAAAATAACATCTGACGTCACTGCGTGTCCTCGCTGTGCATTGAAGCAGTGGTTTGACCCAATTAAATCTGCAGGCTTAAATTACTCCATTCAAATTTCCTACTAGTTAGTTATAGAATGTTTAGGCTGCAAGATTAATATATTTACATTAATCTTGGGTTAGTCAGGGTACCAACTCTATGCTAGAAAAGGGGAAGTTATGATTGAGGCGGCTGTGGGCACTTGGACACCAAGAACGGTCTCGTTCTGTGCTGTCTCATAGCTGCATCTTTCCTCTCTTCAGCAGCGGTTTAACTATATAGAGACATATAACATGGTGCTCGCAAACTATAATCAACTAACCCAAGCTTTATGAAATGTCCTAGACACAAAAGGCCGCCTCCTCAAAGTACAGATACTAGAGGCACAGTTAGGAACATTAGTTCTTCTTGGCAGTCGGGCAGAAAATGAAGCGGGACGCTAGGCGTTCCTTCCAAAGAAAGTAGCCCGCGAGATTAATGGACCGAGGAGTAAAAAAGCTTCTAGGAATCTGACTATTAATCTAGACAATATCTATCCCACAACCGCAAGTTTGAAAATGTAGACTTCACAAGACACCTAGAGCATATATAAATACCTATTACGCTAGATAAAGGTATAAAAAGATACGATGGACTATATACCCACCGGACGGGTCTATATTTGAAATGTGACCTGCCCGCTTGGGGCGCCAACGTCACGAATAGTCGAATGTTTAGGGGTAGGCTTGATCACTTCACGACAATTAGTGATTAGTGATTAAAAAGGATTATCATCACAGCACTCCGGGCAGATCCATAGGTGCTCCGATCTCCTCCTCAAAAGCTCCACAAGTGTAAAACGACTGATGACGTCTGTTCTGTGCTGGTTAATGAAACGTCTTGTCCTCTTAGTGAAATGTTCATTTCTTGCAGCTCCATGCTCCACCCCCATGTCCATCAGTCTAGACAGGGATATGGAGTCATGTCTTTTGGTGTGCTCCTCGGTACGGTAAGTGCAGCTCGTGGCATTGATAACATCACTTCTGTCCAGTACTGGGCCAGCCATAGCAAATGCGATGTCAGCAAGATAGTCTTACCGCTTGTTCCCTTAAACACCAGCATGACCTGGCACAAAGATGAAGGTTAGGGCAGATATTCGTGAAGTGCTTAGTGTTTAAATCCATTCTTGCCCGATGAATCCAGGTTGTATTTTTTTAAGCATATTAATCGAATCACTAAGAAAGCATACGTGTGTGAACATGCTGAAGCCCTTGTTATAGCCATAGTTTCTATCATAAGGCTACTAATTGTAACAGCAAAGGCGTCATTCATCTCCTTGATGGTTTTCCCCCTTGAGCTTACTGTGAAGGCCCATGCACTTCGCTTGCCCCTAATTACTGACCCATCTGTGTAAACTACAGCATCAGCTTCATCTGTGTTTTCGTCAATCAGTGTTCTGTGTCAACAAAGCCATGAATCTGCTCTCTACAGCTTCCATCAAGTGTGATATGGACTGTAATAATAATAATTTTTGGAGAGGTTGTTCGTGATAAAGATTTTCAATTAAATGCACTAAATGCGCTGGAAGAAACCCTCATAATTGTCCACAGTTTGTGGTGTTGGGCACAATCAAATGCCTTGCAATCAATAAAACAAGCATGCAGATCTACGTTGTATTCTCTGCATTTTTCAAAAATTATTCTCTTATTAAAGATGTGATCACTAGTTCCTCTAACCTGTCTGAAACTCGCTTGTGCTTTATTTAGCTCATATTGTAATTTCCTTTCAATCTTCTTCATGATAATTCGCAAGAGGATTTTGCTAGCATGACTTATTAATGCGATGGTATGGTAGTTGGAGCATAGTTTCAGATTTCCTTTCTTTGGGAGAGGGGTATAGATTTTTCTTTTCCACGCTTTAGGCCAAATGCCGCTGTTCCAGATCTTCGAGCACAATGCATGGTAGATTCGGACGCTGGCCTCTCCACCTGCTTTAATTAGTTCTGCTGGTATTTCGTCGCAACCTGGTGACTTTCCTTTCTTCAGGCTGTGTATTGCTGATCATACCTCATCCAGTAAAGGCTCTGGTTCTTTTTCATAACGTTCACAAGTTGTTTTTGAATTACCTGTCACATCCTCATACATTTATTTACAGTATTCTTTCCATCTTTCTAATATGTCTTTGGTTTCCGTTAATGTGTTACCGGTTTTATCACTTATTACATGAAAAGAAGGCCTGAATTCGCCTTTCAATGTTTTAATTTCTTTAAACGGGTCTCTGTCTCTTCCTTGCATCTGGAGTTGTTCAATTCTACTAGAGGTATTTATAATAAACTGTTTTTTGTCTCCTCTGATAGCTCTTCTGATTTTCTTCGTGTGGTTCCTATATGCATGGCTATTTTTTTCTGTCCCTACTTGCTTTAAATTTCTTCTTTCTTCTATCAGCTTGAAAGTTTTTTCTGTAATGTAAATCTGTTTCTTGTGTGGTTTTTTAAGGAATCATGTTCTGAGCTGTTGTGATGATGATGTTTCTTGCTTTATCAGCCAACTCATCAGGTGTCACATTCTCCTGAACCTGCCATTAGTGCCTCAAATTTGTTTTCGACCTCAATGCTGTAATCATTTGGCTAATTACTTAAATCAAAAAGTATTCAACACTCTTTTTTTAAACTCTGCAACAAGAAGTTTGAAGAAGAAGGTAAGCTTTCAAAATTCAGAAAAGTTCCACGAAAAGTCCCTTTCCCGTCCGGACATCAGCTTACTACGTAACCGTCGGAGATCCTTATATAACTCGTTTGTACTGCTGAACGGTATTTTAGGAATTTGTATCTGTTTGATTCTCAGCCTTGATCTCGCAGACTGCAATTTTGATGGGAACGAAATACCTACCTACTTACATACGAAAAGTCGATTTGATTATATTTTCACAAAAGCAAAGTCGGTTCAAGATGCTTATTACTAAAAAAAAATAAAGTACTCTAAAAATGATATTCTTCACCATGGTGTAGGCCTAGAATGTGTCTGAAATTGTGTCGAAGGAAGTAGGAATGATGAAATTTGTATCGTAGTTTTTCCGTGACTACCTTTATAGAATGGATTGTGTTCCGCAGACACTTTTTACTTCGCTGACCTACAGCAAGCAAGATGCCGGCCTTACTTGCAGCACCCAAGTCCAACATTTCACCTCTAATTCGCGTAAGCTCTTCGTCCTAGAGAATTATTTGTAATTTGAACCGAGCTTTGTATTCTCGCAGGAAACTTACATGTGCTTGTAAAAAAATAGTTGCATGTTTTTCAAACTAATAAACTTCACACTTATACCAGTGTGTACACGACCTTACTTTCGTTTCCCAGGCATTATTCATATGTCTGATCCTGATCTATCATGTCTGTTTTTACTTTTCTCCAGTCTGGCTGCCAGTACTTTTACTTTAATATTAGGTAACCAGTTAGAGGTAATGACATTTCGAAATCTATACATTGAAAGAGCAACTGATATATTGTGCATTATAATATTTCAAGGTGAATAGCCAAAAAAGAAAAAGTTTTAGACAACTGTAATGTTATCCTCCTCGGCTCAGCTTCTGCTTCTGTAGTCCACAGGATAACTAACAAGTCTAACTAGACCTTTTTTTAATAACGGAAAGTATGGATACTGGATAAGTAAGGTTCTAGTTCTTGTCATCAGGTATGATCAAGTACCTTGCCAGTTGGGTTCTGTTAGCAGTGTTATGAGTGTTCATTTATATTAAAGTTCATGCTGTTCTTCACATCTTGAGCATCTTGCCATTTCCAACCTCCAGTAGTCCAGCCTAGTAGTGACAATACTGACAAAGTATCGTATCACCTGTGGTATATAACTATATAATGCTTCCACTAAGCATCATGACTCCAGTGAAGTTCCCAGTGTCATTATACCCCCCCCCCCCCCCCCCCCCCACCCTAATCCCTGAGGAGATTAACTCTTTCAGGCCCATGAATTTTGATAGACTTGGCCCACATTAATTTCCCTTTACAAAAATGGCAGAGGGGTGGGTGTACAAGAAAGGCTGTAGAAATTGTAATATACTTATAATCCCTATAACAGTATATATTTTTAAAATGAGAAATGAGTACATTCTGAATCTGATGATAAGTGTTTGTTTGATTTTGTTATAGTTAGTGGAAAAGAAGAATTCAGCAGGTGTTAATTTCACAAGGACAACATTTCACAAAAAAATTCTTCACTTACCATAGTTTTGCAGCCACAAGAATAGTAAATATCCAAATTTGAGAACAAAACTTCAAAGTTTGTTCAATTTCCTAACATATTCTAAAGTTATGATAACTTTCTAGGTTAGTTTATCACTCAGGGGCTCTTAGTTCCCACCGAGTGCTAAGCAAAATTTCAGAGAAAAAATATCAGAAAAATGAGCCATAAAACACACTATTTACTATTCACTTTGTACAGTTATTTACAGACTGTAGCTGCGATGATTTCAATGTAGCTTAGCCATAGTATAGTACTATCTCTTTGTTTAGAGCACTTTCCTTCTCTTACACCATAAATACGGTAGTATGGGACATTGTCTGTGTAACAAACTCGTCAGAATCGCTAGATTCCGAACAGCTGATCGCTCAGCTTCACTGGTGAAAATTCACTGTCCGAATCACTTTCCGAAAAATCTAAATTTTTATTATCATTATCACAATTAAAAGCATCTGACTCAAACAATTTCAGAACTTCGGCCGCAGAAAGACGCATTCTGAGACCTGTTCTTGTGGTTAAAACATTGGTATTCAGTGCACACAAAAATGAACTGTTAAAAAATTTTGATGTTTTTTTTTCTCTCAAATTATCCACATGTGGTCTAGTCCAAGAAATGAAACTAAAAGGATTTCGGCAGAGTGACTTTCCCTGAATAGGTTATTCGTACCTCCAAACATTAGAAACTAGTACGAACGCGCGTGCGAAGCAAAATGTAAGAGACACACGATTAACGATGACACCGTTCTTTGGGCAGAACGAAACTTCTCAAACTACGCTCACACCGTTGTTTGGGCCTTAAAGAGTTAAATGACTAAATCTGGTCACTTCCGGTTATGACACAATCCCATAAATGCTATGTGGTCGATTCTGCAGTGACCTGTTCTCGAGAAGTGTAATATCATATTAGTCTTATTAACAGTGTCTTTCAGTCCCAGTGAACACATCATATATTTAAAGGTTCCTACCTAGATACCAGTTGAACGCAGGATGTGCATATTTTACGTCTCTCTTTACTAATACTACCACTTGAGCTTTACTTACTTAGTTGCTTCTCTTCTACTTTGGGGTGTAGAGGCTTGCCAGAGAGATTACCAGACTTCAGGTCCATACTCCCCATGGATGATTTCCTTCTCGACTCGCTGTCAATTCTCTCTAATTATTCTGTTTCATAATCATGAACTGCTATTTTGTGTGTATTTCCAACGCAGGATACTATGTGTTTTTCGTGGGAGCAGCGTGTATTGTGGTTTTGTTATGTCGGGGCAGGATAATGACCAATAGTTTTGGCAGCCTTGACCACGCTGCCTTTGCAATGTTTTGATCACGGCGGTCTACTCGGGAAGAAAGAATCTCGTCAGCAGGGGACTGCAACTGTCTCGATAAAAGCTGCCCCCAGAAATGGAATGTGTCAACCATATATTTGGTGGGGAGGAATCGACACATACGGTTAACTCAATGGCCGTGGCCCTGGACATTTCCTTCTTTGCAGTGAGGGCAGTTATTTCTGGGACCTGACTTTCCTCAACACAGAGGAGTTCTGAGCAGTATTCTTTCCATCAGTTCCGGTAGTTACAGATTTCCTTTTCTTTTATTAATTTCAATGGGCACTCTTGTCTCCTTTCTCATGTTTTGAGGGCCTTATAGAACAGTTTTTGATTTTCTCTTGCATTCTTTCCCATCTTTTCTTCAAATTCTTCCCTTAATTTCTGTTTTGAGTTAAGCACTTTATTTTTTGGCATCTGTTCTGAATGTCGGCTGACAGAGAAGTAAAAATTGTATACATGAGGAAGATGAATGGTCGTAGACCACAAGGAAGATCAAGAAGGCAATGGGGAGATAATATTCAAACAAACCTACAAACACTTGCTGTCACCAAATGGAAAGAGAAGGCCAGCCGGAGAGATGAATGGAGGCCGGTGATATCTGCAGCAATGAACCTCAAGGGCTCGGAATGCTGAAGAAGAAGTTCTGAGTGTCACATATTATGTTTCTCTCTCTTCAGCTGTGTTCCTGGCTGCCGGGTATTTCTTCCATGCCTTTTTCTTTTCTCCTATTTTCAGTTTGACTTCTTCCTCTAAGGTGTCCTATGTCCCTTCCTTCCACCTGTGACTTCACCACATGCTTCTACTGCAGATGCTATAAGGATATTTTTTAATCTGTACCTCTGACGGTTCTTCTTCAGTTCCTATTGCTTTCACTATAAGCTCCTGGTATCTAGCCCTAATCTCTTGGCTTATATGCCTTAAGCCTCATCTCTTCTCTGTTGCTTGGTTTCTTGCATGGTTGTCAGTGTTGCTTGTTGGAGCAGTTCTTTCAGTTCTGTTTATTGTGACAGACAGTGCTCACTTCCAGTCTCTAGTCCTCTCATGACTCTGGCATCCCTTACAACTTGAATGAACCTTTTTGTACTATGGCATAGTCAAAGATGAATTTCTCATTCTTTGAAGGTTCCATGTTGTGTTTGCATGTATATGTTTATGGGAGAATTTTGTGTTTGTAATGACAATATTCTGTTCCCTGCAGAATCTGAGAAGTCGCTTGTCATTATCATTCAAAACATCTTCACCATATCTCCTGATCACTCCACCCCATCTAGAGTGATCATTTCCTACTCTGGCATTTAGATCTCTGAGGAGAATAATTTCATCGTGACATATATCTATGATCTTTGAAGTCGTTCAAAGAATTCTTCTTTGACATCAACTGACTTTTCTTCATTTGGTCCATACACGATGACTATATTGACAATTTATCTTCTCCTTTCTGATCCAGCACCATAATTCACTTTGAGGTGAATTTTTATCCCTTGATATTACTAACTTGATTCCTGGCCACAATACAACCAGCATCCCCTTTGCCACTCTCCATTGTAGGAACACCACCATAGAGCAGCACACTTCCATCATGATCTGTTATTTCCTGCCCATTTTTCTTGGTTTCACTCAGAGCCATGATTCCTAATTTTGCTTTTCCCATCTCCCCTATTACATCGTGTTTTACTTTCCGTCTGTGCCTCGTATGTTCCATGATCTGTGAATCATAGTTTGTAAGTCATGCCAGTTGGTGCCGTTAAGATCCATTCGGTTTTCTCTCTCTGGTAATTTGTAATCGTAGTTTAAAGCAAACAGGTGATTGACCTGTTGTGCCTTTGCATGATGGAGGGGCTGCCTCCTCCTCCTTGTGGTCCTTATGCATGCCTTCTGGCTTATCCACGGTTACCCACTACTTCCTGAGACGTATAAAGCACTCAGGTTCAGCCAGACTCTCCTCCTTTTATAGCCAGACTTGGGACTGGTCTTAGCCAAGTTCCATGGGCCTATCAAGATAAACCCCCTGGTACTGAAAGAGTAACAGACCAGTAAATAAATATAGTAACTGAAATAGGAAAGGGAATGGGGGGGGGGGGGGTCTTAGGACCCAGATGGCTTTTTAATACCTAGGCTGATGCAAAGTGTTGGCTTTAAGCCTCAGTGATAGAGGTCACGGTATGAGTCACCTGATATACAATTGTGTAAGGCTCCAAGGAATGCATTGAATGTTTTTAGCATTTGTGGGCAAAAGGGTTAGCTCATAACAATAGACAAACATGGTTAACTTGAAGACAAGCCTGATTAACTAGGAAGGAATATAACAGGGGTTTCCTCTTCCATTCCAGTTTGTGTGGTTTGACTCCAATAGCATTTGTTTTAAGTCATCCCTATGTCAGATCTGGAGCCCCATTTGGGAGGAGGGGTTAAGAATAGACTCACTGCCCCCAATAACCATATTAGGGATGTTTTCTTTGAATTTAGAGTGCATCTGCCTAAGATATGAGGAACTGACAGCCTACATATAATTAAGATGATCTCTAAAACAGACATGCACACAGAACTCAAGTACTGCAACATATGTTAGGTGCCACTTTCACACCCATTGTCATTTCATCTAGTTTTGAGGTGATTTATAGAGGTAGCTGTCCACCAGCTACCTTTCTGTCATACATTGACCATTGGAAAAGATTCTAACTTCGAAGAAAACCACCATTCACAATTTAGTAGCAACAGTAATATTGGATACTATTGTCCCCATTGGGCCAAAGGGCGAAAGCTCATGCGCCGCTGGATCGATAACAACAACAACAACTATTGTCCTCGTGTGGTTCGAGGGCCCTAATGTTGGGAAAACAGGAATGGACCCAATGACTACCTAAATAAGCATGTCGATGCAGCTATTGGGAGCTTTCTTGGAAGTCAGAGTGCTTCTGCCCAAGTGGCAAGGAACAACCAGCTAAACACAAATAAGCCAGTAAAATTGGTGTACACACAAAACTCAGGCCCTGGCACAAAGCCTAATTTCATATGGACCAACAAACAGGACTGTCCGCCTGAGCTTACAGCCTTGTAATAAAGAAGCAAAAGGATTCTATTATACATCTTTGTGCAAGTGTGAAAAAGATTCATGTAAAGGTGATGATAAATGTGATTATGATCATTGTTTTTCTTTTTGTTCCTAAACAGTTTGCCAGATGGACGGCACTTTTCACTGGAATCGTTTATGGTGTCACTAGATACAGTAAGAAAATCATTATTCTTCTATCAGGGCATTCATAGGTTGTGAATAGATTAGAGTTTGAAAAGACAGTATTTATGACAGAAATTGGTCTTGTAGTACATCTAATTTATTCTCAGAAACTGTTGTCTTGTGCCTTTAAAATAGTTTTGTGACTATAATTATAGGAAATATGAGCATTGCCTCACAATTATTGTCCAGCTTGCTTTGATATTCATTTGCTGTGGTGCAAACTGGATTGCAGTACATCCTGCTTTTCATTCACTAATAGGAAATTCAAGTTTTTATAATTTAGTATGAGCTAGCAATGAACTTGAAGATATTCAAGTTTTTATAATTTAGTATGAGCTAGCAATGAACTGTTTAATATTGGTACTATTAATTACTCTGTTTGAGCAGTTGTTATTGGTTTTATTCTGGATGTCCTTTTTTCTTTCTTTGCGCTATTGCTCAATTCACAGTTGTAGCTGCTGTTTGCTGTGTCCTCCCCCCTCCCAGGAACCCATAATGGAAGAAATAGGAAACAAAGGTGACCATACAACAGTGAGACTGCAATGTCCCACAAAACTGACCAGGAAGGCAAATTCGGGCAACAAATGCCTGCAGAAGTTGGATGTGTCGGTTGAAGAGCTTATACATCGCAAGCATGATGTAAACAGGCGCAACACAGTTACGTCCTCAGATAAACACAGAAGAAATGCTTATAATAATAATTTGTTATGGCTGGTTTAGTTGCAATCTTCAGAACAGAGTTAAGATTTAATTCAGTTCTGAAACAGGGAACAGTGATTTTCAAACAAATATGTGCAGCTGAGGGAAAGCAACATGTGTAAGGTTACCATCATTTTAGACAGGTTTTGGCAAAGAGGTGATTTTAAAACCCTCGAGCATTTTCCAGCCAGTCAGATGCCATCCACACAGTAAAGGTTGGCTGCAGAGATCTTCAACGCTGTCTAACTCATCTTTGTTGTACACTTGGATGCTGTTCATAAGATTGTTTCTTTTAATGTGGTCAGAATAACTCTTCATTATCTTCAGAATCTCTGTATTTGATTGTTTTTGTTTCCATGGGAATGGGAGTTGTTAGCCTAAAAACACTTGGGGACATACTCAGGAGGAGATGTGAGCACTTATGGTCATGTCTGATCTGCGATGAAAATGATCTTTTGAATGAACGTTTCCATGAAGGAAACCTGTTCTGTGTATTAATTTCTTAAGAGGCTCAGTTTGACTTTCTTTTACTTTTCGCTTTCACCTGCACACAGTTTTAGTTGTTCATTCATTTCTGGACTATTCCAATCCCAAAACCTGAGTGTTTCGTGTACATCCATTTTACAGATCTGCCTTATTTCTATTCAGTTGGTTCCTTGCCTCTCAGGCAGATACACTTTGAAGGAAGCTCCCAATTAGTCAACTCTTATGACATGCTTTTGTGTAGGCAGTGGGACTCTTTTTGTTTGCCTGATAATGGCATCCCAGAACCCACACAGAGAGTTTGACTTTCTCATTAGTCTTTTTGGGCAGATTGTGTTTTTGCCTCAAGTGCTGTAATATAAGATTGGTATTAATGCTTAGACTTTTCTGTCCATTTCATGTTTTGCAGTAGATGGGGGCTTATGAGTCACTTCAAGGAAATAGCTTAGTTTGCAACATTTTAAAAAGTTTCTAATAAATAGAAAAATGTTAATTCAGGCAGAAGTTTATTGTCGAACCACGCAGAAGTATAAGAGTTGAATGGTAAGATGATTGATATGCGCAGTCATTAAAATATTTATCCTTCACAGATTATTTGTACAGGCGTGAAGTGGAAATTCAGAAGCATGAGAATGAGATTCGTGAAAGGCACAGAATTAAAATGGAACAGCTGAGAAAACAGAATGAAGAAGGTATTGCTTGTTGTTCATGACATAAAGGCACCTTGTAATTTGAAGAATAGAAAACTTTACCTTTTCAGTTTCATTTTATTTTAAGAAATATTGGCATGCTAGCATAAGAATTCTGTGTGTCAGTTGGGACACCACAAAAGGTTATTCCTAAGAAACTCCAATGTCAGAAGGTGTGTCATGGTAGGTATCAAGGATTTTGAATGACCGCCAAAATGTGATTTTCATTTGTTCTGACCTGTAACAAAAAGCTGTCAGTGGGCAGCGATTTCACACAGATGCAGACATAATGAATGTGGTAAATATTTGGTTCAGTAGGCAACCGCAGACCTTTTTTTATTTCTTTTTTGTTGTTGCAAACTATCATTCACAGCCTACCTAAGCAGTGTGATGCTTTTGTGAATGTTTATGGCGACCTTTTCTGACCAACCCATGGTGCATAATTTGTTCAGAATGAATGTTTAGTTTAATTCTTCCACATCTATTGTTTCTTGCATGCTTTTATACTAAAGCCCTTGGAATGGGTTTCAAATGAACGCTTATTATACAAGAAAAACTTCTGGTCTCTGTTATCAGCCTGCATTGTTTGCTGCAGCGTTTTGAGGATAAGAGCAGAACATTGTTATTTTTGGGTATTCATAAAATGAGCCTTCAGATCCTGCCTACTGCCTATACTACTTGTGCCTGGGAATCAAAGATACTGAATGAGACTATACATAGAGATGCGGTAGAATGCAAGATGGGAACGAAAACCAATATCCAATATGCATTCTAATGCATCTCTATGTATAGTCTCATTCAGTATCTTTGATTCCCAGGCACAAGTAGTATAGGCAGTAGGCAGAATCTGAAGGCTCATTTTATGAATACCCAAAAATAACTGAATGTTCTGCTCTTATCCTCAAAACGCTGCAGCAAACAATGCAGGCTGATTTACAATTATTTGTTGCAGTATTGCAAGTTTTGGAAAGAGGTGTTGGAGGTTATAGAAATTTGTGACAACTGGAACCAGGAAGATCAGAGTTATTAGATGGAGATCATGCTGGTTGGGGTTGTCGTATAGCAGGGAAGAGAATCACAAGTTACTTTTATCAAGAATATTGAAGACCTATGGTTGTGGTGGAACTTGATTACTGACACCAGCCAACATAACTGTGATGCTTGATTTGATGCTAGTTAGATAAATATAGTTTGTTTCTAAAAAAAAAAAAGACATATATACAACTTATCCAATTATAAAATTGTTTTTTTTTCCCTTTGCAGCGGAGATGCTTGCACTTGGCAAGGAAGCTGGTGTTGTAGCAGCAAAGTAAACCAGAAGAGATGTACTGTTTGATGTAGCCTTTTACTTGTACTTTTGTAGATGTATCTAGAGTCTGCGAGACTGGCTTGTGATGTGGAATACTGTTCAACGTTCAAATAAAAGATGTATGTTTGTTCCTACTACTTGTAATTGGGTTCTATTTGTGCAGCTGGTGTGTTAAGTAGACTGTATATAGACACATACTATTACAAGGGGCTGGCCATTTGGCTTTACACTAATTGTGTAGAAAATGTTATAAAATGTATTGTTTATCAGTATGAAGCATCTGAGGCTTGCAACAAACATGATTTGTAATTTTCAAAAACCCAGTTGGATTCAGCTGCCATTTATTTGGCAGCAGATCTCTTTACATTTATTCCAACAATAGCATGGAAAGCTGACTGTTCAGAAAGCAGTGACAAACTACTAAATATCAAATTGCTGAGTAGATCCACAAAACCGCCAACTCTTCTTTTTCTTTTTAGCGTTCACATGCTGTAAACCCCAGCAGAAAGTTCTGATTGTCCACTTCTGGACTTTGGTTGTGTTCCAGGTTCGCAAGGGTTTTGTTCCAGGTTTGCAAGTTCGTTAAGGATATGCAGCTAACTTTTCATTCTAGCCTCCACTTGAACTGACACTGGTTATGTGTTATAATGCAATCCCACGCAAATATTTTGTCATTTGCATTCTTTGTACATTTTAGATACAGACCTGATAACAGATGTTTGGGGACTGCAGAGTTGTTAGAATCCCCAGACGTAAACATTTACTATTCTCATGATATTGAACATGTGGTGCTGACCCTTATTTTGTTTAGGCCAAAAAAAAAAAATTCTGATGTGGTCGAGGTCGACATCATGCTATACGCCTATACTTTGTGAGATATTTCCTGACACCCATTGTATTCTGGGTGGACCTAGCAGCCAAGGTCAGTAAACATCTGCCCAGATTTCTTTGTGTACTTCAGCTGAATGTTCTGGTTGTTTATTCACTGTTTGACTTTATTTTTGATCTCAAACCTGAGTTTTTGCGTGCACATCAGTTTAATAAATCTGGCTTATTTGTATGCAGACTGTTTCCTCTCGGGCCTGTGCGCTCTATCTTTGACAGACGGAAACATCCCTACACAGGGCGGATGCTGATTTGAAACCAAGAGCTTCAGATCAGCAGACAATCATCTGGCTACTGTACTACCATAGCTGCCACTTTCATTGATGGGCCTAGTCCCAACTAATGGGTAAAAGTTCCCTCTGGGCTGGCACCTAAAAAAAATTTATCACACTGTTCTGAGATTGAAAAAAAAAACTCAACCTGGAAATCAGGTCAAGAAGAGCTGATAGTTTAGCTTGATCTGCTATCACTTCCTTCAGATTAATGGCCTCCAAGAATTAGAAAGGACTGAGGACTTTATGGGCAGTAAATCCACATCACTCACCAGAATGATAGACTAGGGAGTTAACATGGGCATTTTAGAAAGAAAGACGCACATCATAGAACTTAATCAACATAAAACTGGTACTATTAGCCGCTGGAGTTCATACTGAGGAGAGGATCTGAGTAACTATGGACATGTCCGGAGTGCAATGATGATAACCCAACTTACAGGCACTGTATTTTCCTACAACCTTTTCTCACCCAGTTACACTAGTCATCAATTCATAAGAGCTAAGCACCTTCCTGTAGGCCTTATTAACCCCAGTCACACCACTAGACTTTTGTTTTCTAGTGAGACCTTACTCCATCTTTTTTATCCTGTCACTGCAGAATCATGCTGGTTATACAAAACAGTTGTTATTCTAAACATGCATGTGTGTAAGGGAAACAGCTATCATCGCAATCTCTCCTTTAAGTTAGTTGCGTATCCTTTACAGGACGTTGCAGAACCAATCCCACCATGTTTTGGCTGTTGTGGTTTTTCTAAGTACATTTACATCCAGTAGTTTGTCATTGCTTTCTGGACGGCTTTCTTCTCGACACCACTGTCGAAACCAGGGCAAGGCCTGCAGCTGGGATCGAACCCAGCATTACGAAGGTCGTTCGCAACGCCTCAGCCACAAACGCATTTGCTCGTTTTCGTTGTATATATTTTGAATGTATTTGCACACACCTAACACAAACAGCAGACTATGTCACCCCAATTTCCCAACCGTTTGGCGTGGATTACTGGTAATTTTCGCATCCCCGCACTATGTCTTTGTGACACAGCTTGTAATACCATACTTGGCGTATCAACCATTTTCAGTGCAGCTTACAACACAAAACCGTCACAGGCACCAACATGGAATCCTTATCTCACAGTGTCATACCAAGCACTCAATTCTGTAGCGAAAGTTTTACACACTCAGTTGATAAATGGCAGAAAAGTGACTCCAAACCATGACCAGAAATAAAAATTAAAAATTTTTTTAAGCTTTAAACGAACAAGCCGTCTAACAGTCATATTTTCTGAAAGCAGTCATCTTAGAATCTTCCTCTTCTTCTTCAGCATTCCGAGCCCTTTATGTTCATTGCCCCAGATATCACCCGCCTCCTTTCATCTCGCTGGTTGGCCTTCTCTTTCCAGTTGGTGACACCAAGTGTTTGCAGATCTGTCTGGATATTATCTTTCCATCGTCTTGTTGGTCTGCCTCATGGTCTATAACCATTCATCTTCCTCGTGTATACAATTTGTACTTCTCTGTCATCTGACATTCTTTCAATATGCCCCAACCATTTCAGTCTATTAGCTCTCACAATGCCAGTGATTAGTGGTGATTTAAACAAATTATGAATTTTGGTCATCTTAGAATAGCTTCTATAAAACAACTACTTTAGTTTTCTCCTGGGTTTATATTTTGAAAAATTCATATGCTGCCACTTATATGGTCGTTACAGTTTTACCCTCCTTCCTTTCCTATCCTAGACAGTTAATTTTAGTATTTCATTCATAAGAGTTTGTTCTCAAAAGGTGCAGGTTAGGTAAAAACAGTTTCCTGTTCTGGTTATGTTGGACACTCTTAATCAGGAAATGCATATAGCCATCTACCTCTTTGTGGTGGCTTAGGCTGGTTTTATCAATGCTTCTTGGTCTTATCATGTTACATCTATTTGTGGCCGAGGTAGCCTTAAACCTTCGTTTTCTGTCAGGCTCACCATTTCTAAGTATATTTAACAGGACCTATGTATTACAGTCTGTTCTTGCATGTCTGATATGGTTAGTGGAATACGGCCCTTAGGTCTACTGTTGGTAACAAATTACATAATGATATTAAAGCTTGGGTAAAGAAAAGAGATATATATACACACACACACACACATATAGATGCAAGCGAACATTGTGATCAGTCTTTAACAACAGATAAAGCGAGAATCCTCTCTCTTTCTCTCTCTCTCTCTCTCTCTCTCTCTCTCTCTCTCTCTCTCTCTCTCTCTCTCTCTCTCTCTCTCTCTCTCTCTCTCTCTCTCGTACCTGTTCTGCTTGTCTGCTCAAGTTTTGAAGAGAATTTGATGGGAGCCTTTACTGTGTAAATGCATGTATTCATGGCCCCAGACACCCCAACTTGCTTGGACGACTTTTAGTTCTGCTTTCATTGTATCTGGAAGCCGCGTTAGCGCAATCGATTGGAGGCTAGCTACGGTCTGTGTTCGAAACCGGGCGGTTAGTGGGGTTCACCCAGTCTCTAGGAAATGGGTACCAGAGTGACACTCTGGGGTAAATGGAGGAACGTCGCTGTAGCTACAGATTACGTGCGGACGGCGAATCAGGCGGACAGTTTCTTATCAGCTGTCCGTACAGAGCACTTATGGTTAATAACCGTGTGCAATGACGCTGGTTCTCATCTCATCTCCCGACTTTACCTTTACTTTTAGAGAACTTTGAGAATAATAATTTTTTTTTTTAATTACATAATGATGTTTGAAGCTCTTACACCCCAATTGTGGATTAGCTGTCAATGTTTTTTCCAGTACATTTCTGGAATTCCCAGAAATAAACTTTAAAACAAAAAAAAAACTGCGTCAGAGCAAAGAGCTTTTTCACTTTGTATACTCAGATATTCTGAATCCCTCTAGCATATGGTCACGCGTGTACGCCGAGGGTTTTGGCAAAGAGGCCACCCAAAAGTGGGAAGTGAGTGAATCTTCATTACATGCCATAATTGTAACACAGTGACACACTGAATATCGGCATGAGAATCATAGAACAAGTCCAAATATAAATTGGCACCTACCGCTGATCCCTAGAAAAAGAAATGGAGATGTGCTTACGAAGGCTCCATCTGTCTCAACGTTTTGAAACATCAAAGACACTTAAAACAATATGTATAACTGAACTATTCAAAAGACCATAATTACAGACCAGAGCATGTTGTGGGCGTGGAAAGAAAGACAAAAATGCTATCATTGTTTGTTCGATTGCAGAAGGTATATTTCAGTGCAAGGAATAGACTAGAGATCTTGATGACAACTGCAAGATCTGTAAAAAAAGGACAGGGGAAAGCAAAGAGATAAATATCTTGTTGGTTTGGCCACATCAGGGGCAGTTTAATGGGACCATCCGATCCAGGATTCTGCTGATCATTTGAATTACGAATGATGACCGCTTATGACTGTTAGCATGGCACATGATGATGAGATGATATTTTAAAGTAGAGGAGGCTGTGTGATTTTCACTTTTTTTAACCGAAAAGGGGATGGTAGGTAGGCCAAAAATGTTTGGCAAGCCTGTACTAAATAAACATAAAAATAGTTTGGAATAGTTTTTTCCTAAGCACTGTCTAAGCCGCTCTATGGGCGCCATGTCATTAGTTTTTATCTTCTTTTCTGCATTTGTTCTTAAAAGGTTGATCAACCCTCGGTATTGTGGATTACGCTGGCCTGTGATGTCTGCGTCTTTTAGACCAAAAGATAAGATTTCGTCAAACCCTTATTATCACCATTTACGACATGGTTATTTAAAAGTCACAGAGTCTTTTTGCCCTCTGCTTCCTACGAGGGCGGAGGTTTATTACTAAAGATGGAGGAGGAAGTATC